CACAAACACAAGCACAAGCACAAGCACAAACACAAACACAAACACACACACACACACACACACACCATCGCACCCACACACGCACACACGCACACCAACACAAGCACACACACACACACACACCAACACACACACACACACACACACACACCAACACGCACACACACACACACACAAACAAACCTTGCTCCAACATCGCTGTAGCAGAACCTCCACCTTTACCACCTCTACAAGGCCCTACTGGCAGACCTTCGAAAACTTCCGGAAACACGAACAACTCCCTGAAGCCCTAAACCCTGAACCCTGAACCCTAAACACTATTGATGGTAATGATGAACCCTAAACCCGAAGCCCTAAACCCTGAACCCTGAACACCATTGATGACGATGATGATGATGATGAAACCTAAACCCGAAACCCTAAACCCTGAACCCTCATCACCATTGATGATGATGATGAACCCTAAGCCCGAAACCCTAAAAAAAATTAAACACTGAACCCTAAACCCTAAACCCGAAGCCCTGAACCCTGAAGCCTGAACCCTAAGCCCAAAGCCCTAAACCCTGCAAAAACCCTGAGCCCAGTCGCAACCCTAAACCCTTAAAACAAAAACTAAACCCTAAACTCGAAGCCCTAAACCACCCTGAATATGCTCTTGTCATGGGGTGTATGCCCTCCTTTTGGTGTAAGCCTCTATGAGGCGGGCGTGACGCGCTAACAGTGTGAAAGGCCCTGAACCCAGTCGCAACTGCAAGGTCTTCCGGCGACTCTGGGAAAGCGTTGCGCGGAGGCCCAAGGCCAGGTTCCGGTAGGGTTTAGGGTTCAGGGTTTAAGGTTTAGGGTTTAGGGTTTAGGGTTTAGGGTTCAGGGTTCAGAGTTTAGGGTTTAGGGTTCAGGGTTTAGGGTTCTAGGATTCATGGTTTAGGGTTTAGGGCTCGTCACATCTTTTGTGTTTGGGTTTTTGGGTTTAGGGTTTAGGGTTTGGGTTCATCATCATCATAATTTGTGTGTTAGGTTTGAGGCTTTAAGGTTTAGGCTTGAGGGTTCATCACCATCATCATCATCATTTGTGTTTAGGGTTTAGGGTTTAGGCTTTATCATCAGAATCATCATGTGTGTGTGTGTGGGTTTTAGGGTTTAGGTTTTAGGGCTCATCATCATCATCATTTTTGTGTGTGGGTTTTATGGTATAGGGTTCCATCATCATAATCATCATCATCATAATGATAGAAGCCTGTACCCAAATCCTATTCAAATTATTCTTGGGGCCCCCATATTATGTTCATATAGCACGGACGCTTTCCTTGGAAAAGGACGTATTTAGGCCCCATTGCTTACCGAAGTATATACTATAGAGATACATGTACGTTGAACGCTTGCCAGCCGCCACACCCTGCAGCCTGAAGCCCACGTGTCAGAAATGAGACCGTGGCTTCGGTAAGTGTATATAGGGCTTCTATTGAAAATTGACGAGTGTGCATGTTGGGCGTTATTTTTTGGATTCCAGTTTTGAGAACATTCCTTGATAGCAAGCCCACCAACATACCCCGAAACTCAGACACCGGATGTTGCAGCCCCTAGACCCTAAACCATAAGCCGCACAACCCAACGATTTTGCAGCCAGAGCCAACGCCTCCGCTCCAAGCCCGGACACGGACTGTGTGAGTATAGATCCTTTAGGGTCTGGGGTATAAGGGGTCATAAGGGCGTATCGTGACTAATCATTCAGACCTTTCGTTGTGCAACGTGTCAGATGACGTATATGTTGTGACTCAACTCCCCAGTCGCCCAAAGCTGTACATTCTTCCACCGGTACGAAGCTTCATGTATTATGCTGCTCAAATTATTACCAGTGGTGTTCTCGCTCAGAGTTCCAAATAGCTCTTAAACTATATATTGTGACCCAGAGCCCTGTTCTAACATTTTTTTACCCTCAGCAACAAGTACAATGTCCTTGCCGCTGAAATAACACATGTCGGATGTGTTTAGACGATGGAAGCTTTGCAAACAGATAGGGTTCCTGGTGATTACGTAGGTGTCCCAAACTTCGGGTGCTTAGAAGAGGATCTGCATGTGTAGGCTGTATGACACGTGATACTATAGGTGTGGAATCCATATTTACAGAGGGTTTCGTACTGCCCTTACAGACCCCTCCCCCGAAACATTCGAACCCGAAAGCCATAAACCCTTAGCCCCACAGTTCCCTGAAGGATTGGGTAGGGTTTACCCCTAAACACTAAACCCTAACCCCTAGACCCCAAACCCTAAACCCTAAACCCTAAACCCAAAGCCCCTAGACCCCAAACCCGTAGCCCCACGACCCGAGAACCCAAACATCCCAAAGGCCGCACAGGGCCAACATGCCCAATCTCCCGAGACGC